TTTTTCTAGTGCTCGATACGCAGGTGCACATATATTTATAACTTAACTCATAATGAATTATTCTACAAAACTTTCCTTTATTCTTTCAGTTATTCAATACTTTGTTTTCAATAAAGGCATATAAGACTGGTGTTTTAAAAAAGAAACAGTTTCCTATAATCTTTTTTAAAAGAATTGTGTTTGCCTGTCCAGTCAAATAAGCAAATAACTAAAGTATTCAAATACTAAACTTTTAGTTTTTTTAAGCTAATGATGACAAATGATGAAAAATTTAAGAAAAACATCTGTACTAAGGTATGTTGAACTTACGACAATAGTCATAAACCAAGGAAAATATGCCTATTTAAACGCTGTTTTGCAAAGTGGTTTCTTCGTTTATGCAGTGTCGTCTGTATGTTGATAAAATCATCGTCGAATATGATAGAAAATGTTGACGGTGCAAACCAAACTTAGAAAGAAAGATCGTACTGCATTAGGAAATATTAATATATCATTAGCTTGTGATTTTTACTTCCTTTCAAAATGACCTTATTTTCCAGTGATGTTATAAATGTTCTACATTTAATTCCGTATTACTTTTAAAGTAGTTTACTTTGCATGCCCTTTCTTTCCTTAACGTTATCTTGTTTTCCGTGAATAAACGTGAACAATTGAAAACTATATCATTGTCTTTTTGGTTAATAAAACAACAATTACCAAATACTTTTTATGCTTGTTATAAAAATTGATAAAATACCAATCATGTAAGAATGTATGTCTACCTGCCGACTTTAAACATCATCATTTTAAACTCATCAACATTCCTTCAACATTAATGAAAAATTTGTTTACTCATAATACGTTCTGCTTGTTTAACTATGTCATAATATTCACGTTAAAAATGTATTGTTTGTTTTTTTTAAGAGCTAATAAGATTGAATTTGCCGTTTCAGTTCAATATTGGTTTACTAGTGATATGTTTAGGTCATAATTGTTACACCAGGGTAACTCTTTTGACCTTTAACGACCACTGCTTTTTGAATTTCACAATATATGTAATCATGCTTCTGATTTTAAATAGCAAATGTATTATAGATTTTAGATTAAATACAAATATTTTACTGGAGTGAAATATTCCGACTTATTTTTTAATAAGAATGGCTACCTTGACAAGAGATAAGAGCACAAATACCCTGTGAAAAAAATGAGGATCACATTCGTAGTGTAATTAATAATTAAAAAAATCCAGTATAATCAATTTGCTTTACAGGAGATTATACCGTAACAGAATCCAAAGTTTCACTATAAAACATTATTTAAAACATTTCAAAAGAGATGACACAAAACGCCTTTTACTGATAAAATTAGGTTGAGAATTGCACTTATTATAGTCGTAGCTTATATAAGTAAATCATCTCAGCACACATTATACGAATAGTTTCATTCTAGGTCAAATTCGAAATATAACATAGTATTACTGCTACCTGCATATCATTTAACTCAATAAATTTTTAATTCCATGAGAATTTTCAGCATGTTCGGTTTTCAACTGGCTTTTGTAACACGACATATAACAGATTAAAATGTCAGTTCACTGTACCGTTGCAAGACAAACATATGATGATGATTACATGTATATCAATTTATGATTTATTCCCTTTATATAAGTAACTATAAAAGTATTTGACAGTTTGTTTTTTTTTTGTAATTAGGTCTTTCCACTTTTCTGTGGAAAGACCTATTGTATTTGTTCTTATTATTAGGTCTATCCACTTTTCTGTGGAAAGACCTATTGAATTTGTTCTGATTATTATTTTTTTTTCCGCCAAATTTTGCGATAAATGTTTGTTTCGCAATATGTCGCTTAGATATTTCTCATATTGTATCGTATAGTTTATGCGCTTTTAAATTTCACCCTGCTAAGCCGAACCATTTTCTTTGTAAGAGTTATCTCCCAATTCACTGTTTATCATCTGTGTGCATCTCCTTCTTAACAAAAAAAGATATCGACAAAATTCTTTTTACAAATTGTTGGTTACATCCTCAGAAATTTTTGGCTAATTTGGATCGAACCGATTCGATGAAATTTCATAGGAGTTATCTACCTTTACACAATAAATTAGTCGGTATGTTTTTTTGACTCATAAACCGTAACCGTATAACCGTGGAATCTTTTTTTTAGGCCCCTATGTCCTAACTTAGAAAATGAGGTCAAGGTCAAAGGTCAATGTCAAGTTCTCAATGTTGACTTTTGCTTGTTTTTGCATTTTCTCCTACACTTTGAAAGATACATATAAGGTTATTTGATTATTACTTCAACTAAGTTCATTTTAAAGCCATATGACCTTGAAATATGACAACCGGAATTGACCTTGAGAAAACCGGAAGTAGCCATTTTTGCACTTTTTTCATATAAAAGTACTCAGAATCCTATATATATATTGTAATTTAAATACAGTTACTTATCACTTAAGACTAGAAGTGACTTTCTGTAAACCGGAAGTGGTCAATTATATCCGGGTTTACAGGCAAAAATATATAGATTTATATATTTTTGGAATCAGTGTGAAAGAAACTATCATATGAGACCGGAAGTAGCACATTATCTCCTTTAGTTCACTTTAAAGCAGATCAAAACCATTTATTTATCGCATCAGTCTGAGGAAACTAGCTTCTTTGATGTGGAAAGACCTTCAATTGTTCTCTGAACAATTGGTTTTTAATTTTTTTTATTTTCATGATGAAACATGTGAAATTACATATTACAGTATTAGACACAAATAATAAAAAAATAAGTAACACTTGTAAGATCGATCAAGTCATAAAGTAATAATAAGATATAGATATTACAATTGATTTTGTTAATTAAAAGCTGCTTCTAACAAATACCACTTCTGATCTATTTTTCTTTTTGTGCAGGGGTTAAGAAACATACAGAGTATTTTTCTATTTTAATTCAATATTTTGAATATTCTATCCAACCATATTTTGTGGGCAATACCTGAACAGGTATTTATATACAAAAAGATGAACATAAATAACATATTCTATAAAAACATGCTACTATTCTATACAAGAGTGCACACGCCGAAATGTCTTGACCATTGATTTTATGTTGATAGTCCTCAATATAAAGTTTTACTACAAGTATCTAATAAACTTAACATGATCAAAGAAAATGATGCCAAGGTCAGATGGACCAAGCCAGAATACATGTACATCTTACAATAATTCCATACACCAACTATAGTTTGCCTATTGCTTATAGTTTTCAAGAAATAGACCAAACCATGAAAACTTTATATTAACCAAAGTACCATGAAAATGAGGTCAAGATCAGATGATAACTGCCAGACAGACATATACATCTTGCAATCATTCCATACATCAAATCTAGTAGGCTTATTGCTCAAAGTTTAAGAAAAAAATAACATTGAGCAATCAATGGTAAAAATAAGTCAAGGTCAAATAAAACCTGCCAGACTGACATGCACAACGTAATATATAACCGTACATTAAATGAAGTGACCTATTGCATACAGTATTAGAAAAACAAACCGAAACACAAAAACTAAACTTTAACCACTAGACAATGAAAATGAGATTAAGGTCAGATGACACCTGTCAGTTGGACCTTACAATCATTCCAAAGACCAAATATAGTAAACTTATTGCTTATAATATCTGAATTAAGGACTTGACCACGAAAACCTAACCTTGTTTACTAATCAATAAAATAAGGTCGAGGTCGAGGTCGAGGTCTAGTGAAAACTATCTGAAAAGCGTGAGGACCTTGCAAGGTACGCACATACCAAATATAGTTATCACATTACTCATAATTAGAGGAATTAAGATTACAAAAGATCTTAATTTTTTATTCAAGTTGTCACTGATCCATGAACATGAGGTCAAGGACAATGGACAGAAATAGAATATTCTATAAAAACATGCTACTATTCTATACAAGAGTGCACACGCCGAAATGTCTTGACCATTGATTTTATTTTGATAGTCCTCTATATAAAGTTTTACTACAAGTATCTAATAAACTTAACATGATCAAAGAAAATGATGTCAAGGTCAGATGGACCAAGCCAGAATACATGTACAACTTCCAATAATTCCATACACCAACTATAGTTTGCCTATTGCTTATAGTTTTCAAGAAAAAGACCAAACCATGAAAACTTTATGTTGACCAAAGTACCATGAAAATAAGGTCAAGATCAGATGATAACTGCCAGACAGACATATACATCTTGCAATCATTCCATACATCAAATATAGTTGACTTATTGCTTAAAGTTTAAGAAAAAAATAACATTGAGCAATCAATGGAAAAAATAAGGTCAAGGTCAAATAAAACCTGCCAGACTGACATGCACAACGTAAAATATAACCGTACATCAAATGAAGTGACCTATAGCATACAGTATTAGAAAAACAAACCGAAACACAAAAACTTAACTTTAACCACTAGACCATGAAAATGAGATTAAGGTCAGATGACACCTGTCAGTTGGACCTAACAATCATTCCAAAGACCAAGTATAGTAGACTTATTGCTTATAGTATCTGAATTAAGGACTTGACCACAAAAACCTAACTTTGTTCACTAATCAATAAAATGAGGTCGAGGTCGAGGTCGAGGTCTAGTGAAAACTATCTGAAAAGCGTGAGGACCTTGCAAGGTACGCACATACCAAATATAGTTATCACATTACTCATAATTAGAGGAATTAAGATTACAAAAGATCTTAATTTTCTATTCAAGTTATCACTGATCCATGAACATTAGGTCAAGGACAATGGACATATGACAGACGGAAACTTCATAACATAAGGCATATATATACAAAGTATGAAGCATTCAGGCTGTTTATCTGCTGAAAAATTAAGCTTTTAAGTAGTTAGTTAACGTCGTCGTTTACGCCACCGTCGCCGCCGCTGCCGAATCACTATCTCTGTGTCTCAGTTTTTCTTTGACAGAAGTCGCAGGCTCGACAAATACTATTATAACATCAGTGGAATAAATAAAAGAGTTTATTCAAATAAAAGAAAAAAGCATTGCTCTCTCGTTATTATTTGCAACTAGTAACTGATTGGTACTTCTATTATAATACAAAGACAAGGGATGGAAAAGACCATTACTGGCTGTAAGTATTTCTTTGTGATATTGTCCACCAGCAGATATGACTACTACATTGGTAGATAACCTCCCTACCACATATACTTTACCATCATTGTCTACAGAGATCCCAAACGGTCTCTTTAGAACACTTTCCTTCTCAAATGTCCATTTCACTGTGCCTTGTAAATCATAACATGTCACAGAGTTGATTATGTTATTTGTATGGTAAATTTTGTCATCAAATGTAGCGATGTAACACATTGTAGGAAATTCCTCTCCGACTATAACGCTTATTGAGTTGTCGTTTGGATTAAAGCACTGTATTCCTTTTTTATCTGCTGAGCAGATGAGTTTGTTGTCCATTACTGCTAAGCCGTGATAATATGATTCAGTATATATTTCTTTCTTAATTTGTTTGTTCTGTAGGTCAATTATTGTAATGCACTTTCCATTCTTACCTGATGTTACAGCTAGCGTGTTGTCTTCACTGATGTAAGATATATCGAATGCCCTATATTTTGTTTTCACTTCAAAATCTTTTGATCCGTCAGTGTTAAATACTCTGACAAGATTGTTTAAGGTCTCCGTAAATGCGAATCTACCATCGGGTAACATGCAACAACCCCATTTGCAGAATCCCGTATTATCTAAAGTGATATCTAGCTTCAGATTGATATTTTCGACTGACCTTGATGAGCTCTGCTGAAGCACCATTTGTGCTTGTTTGTCTTTCCTCCTTGTGAAGACAATGTCACATGGTTTCGTCTCAATCATCAATTCCCCTAAACTTTGGGTCTCGGAGCTGAACCTTTGTATGCCGGTATTAAATTGATATGACATATTTGTTTCTTTAAAATCTGCAGTTTTAGACATGGATTGCATGAATTGTACTTCGTTTGAAACTTCTATTTCTAGCTCCTTCATAGCAATGAATGTCTGGAGATCTGTGTCAAGTTTCTTGATTTTCGTAATGTTCCTCTGGCATTCAGCTATTTCATTTCCTTTTTCCTGCAATAAAATCAGCGAATGACAAATGTTCATGTTTTCTTTTTCTTCAGCTGCATTTATTTCATTGATTGCGTCGTCTTGTATTTCATCTAAATGCTTGTTGATTCTTTCTCGGGTTTGCTTGATTTCATGCAAAATATGCCTTTTTCTCTCAGATAACGACGTAAGGTTGTTCTCTCTGTTCTGTTGGATTTCTTTAATGCTGTCACCGAGTTCTACTAACGAATGTTCAATTTCATAGAAGGCATTCGATGTTTTTATATTTTTGACGATATCAGCCAATTTTGCGAAATTTCCGCATTCGTTGTGACTTTCTACAATACATCTACCACAGCAGAGACTTTCATGCTTTTTACAGTAAATTATATAATGTTCGTTATGTTTGTTACAGTTTTGGGCTATGTGGAGATTATCACGTTGTAATTTCTCGTATTCAGTTATTGGTACAGTGTTATGGTTTAGTGTTCCATTCGACAAACTGTGGTGTTCTTGACATTTTAAACAAAGTCCTTCGTCACATTCTTTACACCAGGTCACTGATGGCTCTGTGATATTATGGACATAACACACACTGCACACTGGCGTCGTTGATGCCATTTGAAAACGATAACTAGAAAAGGATGAATAAGCAGCGTTCAATAAAAATAACTATAATTTTACTATGACTCATGGCTGATTGGTAACAGATCACCAATAACTAACTAAACATATCTGGTTGATCCTATGTGAGAGTTGCAATGACAATGGTATCCGATATGCCTCTTCATCTATATGTACGTCGGTAGAACGGTAACAAGTAGATTTAAAATTATTGTGAAATATAAAATTAAACGCTTTGAAAAAGGTCTCAAAATAATTCTGTTTACAGCGTATGCATAGTCAATTCCTCACTTTAAAAAGGCCAAAATAGTTACGAAAAGTTGTTTTGATACTTTATGTTGCCAAATACAGCACTGGTCTCTGCTGCATTGATCAATTGTAATAATTTTAACTGTTTTACAATCAGAAATAACTGATTGGCATAGTTTGTGTAGTGACCATTTTGATATGACGACAAACTTGGATATATAAGTGTTAATCTGGGGGGGGGGGGGGGGGGGGGGGGGGGAAATCGTAATGTTACGAATATGAACATTATAATGCCACCACTGAAAAATAGGTTTACACCGGGCTCTGTATAGAGAAAACTTGATTGAAACATTTTTGAGATTGCAGTCTATTAATGTTACATGCAAGTTTGTTTCACAATGACAATGAATAATACTAAGGAAGCCTTTCTAATTTAAGAGTGTATTTCCCTCATGAATTGCTCTTATTCCTGAAATTATACATTCGTTAAGCTTATTTAGTTATACATTGTATCAGCTCTTTTGTGTTAGTCTTGTGCATCACTGAGCAGATACACCCCACCCCTCCACAGCGTTAAAGTGAAGACAAAACTCTATATGTGTTTTTTAATGCACGTTATGTTATCTTTCGACATTTATTTTTTTTTAAATACTATAACAAAACATATTCGGTTGTCACATGTCACTATGTTTTTGAGCTTTTATAAAAATTCCTGGAAGGCTTTAGAGTAAGTTCATTTGAGAGATCGACATATTTTCTATTATGTACATAACAAGATAAACACCCTTTAAAACGTGAATAAGTCGTCAGAATTTAAATATATTGCCCCTAAACAAGATGGGTTATGTTACATTTAAATAGTTTAACTTGAGTGACGATTGTCGCTCTTGCTTTGCAAATCTTAATTTCTTTTATAAACAGAATAAAATTTATTATTTGGTTTATTACATTCTAACTACCTTTACTTGTTAATAAAAAATATATATCAATATCTTACATACTCTGTTTAATTTCCAATATACAGAGTATACTAAGAGTCACTTTGTTTTTAATCCTTTATAAACATTTTTGACAAACTTCAGAGTAAATTCATTAGAGAAATCGATATATTTTCTATTATGTACATTACAAAAAATACCCTTTAAAAAGTCGTCAATTTCCACAAAAAAGATTGATAATGTAACATTTAAGGTTTATCAATATACTTTGACAAAAATGGCTGTGTTTACACAATGAAATTTCTGTGAGTACAGACAAAACTGTGTAATTTGAAAAGTTTTAAAGCCTGGCAGCACCTAGATATATGCAAGTTGTTTTCATTTTGTTTTTTAACAAGATAAAAACTTTTGTGGATTTAGCTAGACATTTTCTTTCCTTGCTGCAAGTTGTGTAAAAATAAACAAAGTCTGGTGAAATCTTTGAGACGATCCTCCTCAGGTTATAATTACATTGTATAATATTGATTGAATGGACAATAGAAATCAACACAACAAAGGTGATTTAAATAGTGTAAATGAGTGGACTGTATCAAATAAAACTCAGGTGTTTGTTTATTTCACCATCTTCTGTGGCAAGGAAAGAAAATGTTCATTAACATCCATAAAGGTTTTTAACTTTTTAAAACTTAAAATGGATGCAAAATTTATTTATCTAGGTGCTGCCAGGCTTTAAAACTTTTCAAATTGTACAGTTTTGTCTGTACATAGAGAAAATGTTATGGTGTTAACACAGCCATTTTTGTCAAAGCGTGTTGATAAACCTTAACTACTTATTGTTCAAATTGAGTGACGATTGTCGCCGTTGCATTTCAGCTCCGAATTTCCTGTTTAAACAGAAGAAAACTTATAGTTATAATAATTAAGATTTAAGTATCTTACGTGTAAATAAAAATATATATTATAAAAAAATATACGTACTGATTTACACTGTTAAACTAGCAATATAAGAAGTATACATTTTCAATTCTTCCAACCGTCTAACAGGAAGGTAAACAACAGGTAAATATTGATTTTTTTATGACGATTATCACGTGTTTGCAAACATCTAGTGGTAATGGCGGTATTTTTCAAAAAGGTATTATAAATGATATGGGGTATTATGTAGCATGAAGTATGCAGAATATGTCACACTGTGGCAAACAATTATATGATTGTTGTATTAATGTGTGTATGTAGTTAATTCGAGATTTAGCTCTTATTGTATATAAAGAGCTGGGTACTTTTCATATGAGTAAGCTTGCGTCTGTCAGAGCATTATGAATTCGTTATATTATATTTCAGAAATTCATGTAGAACAGTCAGTCAGTGGTAGTATTGTTTTTACAGCAGCACAATTCAGAGACACAATCTGTAGACAGAGCGAACGATTTTTATGAATATTGATAGTGAAGGTGATGTAGCAAATATCATCCAGGAGAAGATGTTCAAAGTGTGAATGTAAGTTATGTGGACGCGTGTTATTGGTTTATACTGTAAAATCTAGTATGATCATCATTTTTATTGGAATTGTCATTTTTAATTTATTGTTTTCCATTTCTAGTTTATCGATGACATACTTTGCTTAGAAGATCCCAAGTTTGCATAGTGTATTGATACGGCTTATAATTATTTGTGCAAGCGGATTGTAGGTTCAGCACATAATATTATCACTTGACTCATGAACATCAAATTTGTTGATTCAAATCTACTTAAACTCCCTTCTGTAACCCCTCCTCATTACAGCATATAAAACTCATCTTTGCAAATTTTTGCTCCATTGGCTCGTATTCAATAATCATTGAGTGATAATACCGTTTCAAAATGAAACTAGCATAGTAACTCTATCTCCAGTATTCGCTTGGACCACAGTGGAATGCCAACATGTGTGTTATCAGCCTATCTATCAAAAACACAACGTACAGAATTGGACTTAAACAAGGATCAAAACGTTGACTAAACACCTTTAACAGCAATGAGCCTCACCTTAAAAACAATAATTGCTGTATAAAGTACATCATAAGTTTTTTTAAGAAACACAATTGGACACTGCAAAGCATTCGAACCTTCAGCATTATAAGATTGCTGATCAGCGCATGTGTTTGCAGCTCGTAAAAAAAATTAAACGATTCTGTTGTTGGTTATATACCAGAGTAAAAATAATATTTCTGTAGCCTGTCTCCTTTTCTTAACGGTATGCGATAGAATTATAGGCGTGGGCAAATATTCTTTATGGAAATAAGATGTGCAAATGTTTACTTTTACATATTGTGACTTGGATGGAGAGTTGTCTCATTGGCACTCATACCACATCTTCGTATATCTACAACTGCATACCAAATATAAGTGGCTCACCCAAAAATGAAATAGACCATGTCAAAAGCGGCAAGGCCGAATAGTATTCGTAAAAATGAGATATGCCAATGCTAAAACAACTGTATAAAAGATGCCATTGACTTTAAACAAGTCTCCTCACTCTGACCTAATCACAAACTTTAACAAATTGATGACGCCGCTGTCGCAACTAGCTACAGCACGCCTTTCTTTCTTCAGTTGTCCTAGAGACCTATAATACAACAACAAAAACGTTGAAAGCTGATGCAACCAACCAATATAGAGCAAGACTATATGCAAACTCGGACAGGGAATCATAATTATGTACAAGGGAGCTACATTCCCTGACTCCAAATCCTGTTACAATTGCTGTTTGAATTGTTGAGTAAGTGAGTTATGAAACACATCTGTTTTATGTTAAATTAAGAGTATGTACATGACGTAGATCGCATAATTTATGCTTTTTTTTTATAAAAAAAATATATATAAAACTGACTGTCAAAATGAACTAAAAAAAACAAAGATGACATGTTAAAGAGGATTTATATACTCAATTCATTTAATATTTTCTATGAAATAGTAATACGTTTTGTTTGTTTCACAATTCGTGGAACGAAAATTTAATACAGTATTGGTTGATCCATTTATTTGTATTGCTTTGAAAATCAAATCAGCTGGAAAAAAATGTTAACAAAGTATGTACTATGTATACAAGGATATAAACATTATACTAAAATACCAGTTCCTCTAAATGACATGATCAAAACTATAAAAAAAAAATAATGAGCTATTACTTCAGTTTGCTTGTTATATGTGCCAATTACATGACTATAGTAGCCTCATATCTATCAATATTTATTCTGACAGTCATGCCAAGTCTCAACAACATTCAACAAACAGGTCCTAATTTTAAATTGTCAATCTCTACATTTAACTTCAAATTTCCAAAATTATTCCTAACTTTAATGAAGAAAGCTAGGATCAAATTAAACACCCAATTAAAACAGGTGTATATTTTACAACTTCTGATAAATTTATTTTTCTTCAAAAAATGAATGGAAAAAAAATGTATGTTCATCATTTATTTCAAAGCTTTTAGAATTGTAAAATAACATTGCCGTATTTTCATTGTTGTGACAACATTATATTATCATCAATCATAATGCCAAAAAGTTACAAAAAGATAACATTTCAGAAAATATTCTACTTTGATACCGAAATACAAATGTAGTATAAATTCAGCTGACTATTTATAACGTGTGTGCAGTTTCACTATTGTTTGATCCATGTATGCATTTTTTACAATCAAGTCAAAGTAAAAATCATTGCTTTGTTCCTATAATTTGCGACTAGTAATTGATTTGTATTTATATTGTTATCAAGAGAAAAGGCGTTAGCAAGACCATCATTGGCTGTAGGCATTTCTTTGTATTTTTGTCCATCATCAGATATAGCTATAACATTGTTAGATGCATGCCCTACTACGTACACGTTACCACCATTGTCTACTGAGATACCACGTGGACCATTCAGGACTTCTTTTCTCGAATGACCATTTAACTGTGCTTTGTAGATCATAACATGTGACGGAGTTTGATTGGTGATTAGTATGGTAAATTTTGTCACCAAATGTTGCAACGTAACAATTATAAGGTATTCTATCTCGGACGATATCACTTGTTTGATTGTTGTGCAGATTTATCAATTAAATTCCTTTTTCGGCAGCAGAACACATTACTTTGCCATCGTTTACTACAATACCATAACCAAAGAAATCAACTTTATTCCGTTCTTGATTTGTTTATTTTGTATTTCAATGATTGTTATGCATTGTTTACTTGACCCTCCTGATGTTACAGCCAGTGTGTTGTCATCACCAATGTACACTACGTCCAATGGGTGTATTGGGGTTTTAACTTCAAAATCGTTTGATCCATCTGAATTGTATACTCTGATAGTTTGTTTAAAGTAATTCGTAAACACCATTTTACCATCTGGTAACATGCAACAACCATAAGTATTGTTTCCCATAGCATAAAAAGTGTAAAGATGCTTCATATTGATTTTTTCAATTGACTTGGATGATATATGCTGAGGCAATATTTGGGCTTGCTTGTCTTTCCTTCGTGACAGGACTATATCGCATGGCTTCGACTCAGTTATTACTTCTCCAAATTTCTGGATATGGTTTGCAAAATTTAGCATGGCGGCATTGGGATTGTACAACAGATTGTGCTCTTTAAATTGTTTGTTGTTGATCACCGACTACAGATACTCGTCTTTGATTGTGACTTTTTTTTTCTAGTTCCTTCATAGAAATAAATGTCTGAAGATCTGTAGCATGTTGCTTGATATTTTAAATGTTTACTTTATATTCAGTTATCTCAATTTCATTTTCCTTCAATAAGTCCAGCAGTTCGCTAATTACCTTCCTTTCTTTTTCTTCAGCTGCGTTTAACTGCTTCATTATTTCATCTTCTATTTTGTCTAAATGATTGTCAATTCCAATCCGGATTTGTTTGATTTCTCGCTCAATCTGCATTTTCTTCTCGGATAAACTCTTCCAGTTGTTTTTTCTGTCATTTCGAATTTTGTTTATATTGCCGGAAAGGTCTGTTATTGATTTTTCTATTTCTGAAAACGCATGTGAAAATTTGATGTTCTGAAAGATATCAGCCAATTTATCAAAGTCTCGACTTTCAATATGATTTTCTACAATACAACTACCGCAACAGAGACATTCATGCTTTTTGCAATAAATTGTTAACTTCTCATTATGTTTGGCACAGTTTTGAGTGATTTTGACAATATTAACTGGTAATTTTTGATACTCACTTATTGTAACGGTGTTATGATTTCGTGATCCCTTCGATAGACTGTGGTGGTCTTTGCATTCAGGGCAAAGTCCTTCGTCGCATTCAAAACACCACATTATGGATGGTTTAGTAATACTACGAAGATCACATATACCACACACGGGTGTTGATGAAGCCATGGTAAGCAAAATCTGAAAAACATATAAATAAATTGAAATACAATAACTTTGTAGTTTCACATCTCGAATGTATAGTTCAAAATTTATTAACGGAAATGACATTTCGTTTAAAATGCCTCAGCAAATAAAATATATATTTTTTGCGAAATAATCAATTTTATTTCATAAAATTAAATTTTAAACTTCAAGTGCAATTATTACAAACGACCATATATAAGGGACATTATTTGAAACAAATGAAATATTCATCTATTTTTAAAGAATTGATTGATTGATTGTGGTATACAGGGTTGAAAAATCAAAAGGTTTGATAGAAAAAATTTCAGAGAAAGATCGATATTTTAAGTTATCAAGAAGTTCTTCAGAGTTTTTTTTTTTAATCCACAAATGGTTAATACCACTACGTGAGTAAACAGTTTCACAGTATTTCTGAAGACCATCTTTCACTGCGGACAGAATTTTTGTCAATCTAATGGACACAAGATGCAGATGAACTGGCAATGTATCGTTGTTTGAACGGAATTTTGTGAAGGTATCAAATACAAACAAGGTAAGTTCTTAGATTTGCTGTTAAATGTAAGGTCCATTTAACCCATGATGGACTCATGATTCGATGTCAACAAATGATACAGGATCACAAGCTTGTTAGTATTATAGTACCAACTTAGTTAACGTGTTTACTAGTTATGTAGCT